TCCCTCCCAATCCCCTCCCAGTCCCTCCCAGTTTACCCCAGCCCCTCCCAGTCCCTCCCAATCCCCTCCCAGTTTATCCCAGTCCCTCCCAATCCCCTCCCAATCCCCTCCCAGTCTCTCCCAATCCCTCCCAGTCCCCTCCCAGTCCCCTCCCAGTCACTCACCAGTCGCGATCCAGTCCGCCCCCATCTCCCGGGCCGCCCTCTCCAGCGCCCGCCTCCTGAAGACCCCGCAGACGGTGCAGCGGCTGCGGCCCCCCAGGACCCCCCCCAGCTCATCCACCCCCCACCCGAAAAGCTCCCGGTGCGAGACCACCAGGAGGGGGAGGGGCAGCGCCTCCCCCACCCCCCTCAGCACCCCCAGAGCCTCGTCCCGGTACCCCGAAATCCCCTCGTCCACCCCCAGGAGCGCCAGGCGCAGCCCCAGGCGGTGCCGCCGGTTGAGCCGCGCCAGGACGTGCGCCAGCACCGTGGAGTCTTTGCCCCCCGAGGCCGCCACGGCCACGGCGTGGCCGTTTTGGGGTGAAATGCCCGGGTTTTGGGGCGTCAGGAGGGCCCGGAGGGTCTCGGATTCGAAGGCGGAGAGGAAGCAGCGGCGGCAGAAGGGTTGGAGGGAGCGGGAGCGGAGGAGGGAGGAGGGGAGGGGGCAGCGGGAGCAGCGGGGAGGGGGCATGGCCTGGAGGGGGGGGGAGAGAGAAAAAAGAAAAAAAGAAATTAAAATGAAAATTTTTGCAGGTTAAAATGACAATTTTTGGAGGTTAAAATGAAAATTTTTGGAGGTTAAAACTAAAATTTTTGCAGGTTAAAATTAAAATTTTTGGAGGTTGAAATGAAAATTTTTGGAGGTTAAAATGAAAATTTTTGGAGGTTAAAACTAAAATTTTTGGAGGTTAAAATGAAAATTTTTGCAGGTTAAAATGAAAATTTTTTGGAGGTTAAAACTAAAATTTTTGGAGGTTAAAATGAAAATTTTTGCAGGTTAAAATGAAAATTTTTGGAGGTTAAAATGAAAATTTTTTGGAGGTTAAAACTAAAATTTTTGGAGGTTAAAATGAAAATTTTTGCAGGTTAAAATGAAAATTTTTGCAGGTTAAAAGGAAAATTTTTGCAGGTTAAAACGAAAATTTTTGGAATTAAAATTAAAATTTTTGGAGGTTAAAACGAAAATTTTTGGAGGTTAAAATGAAAATTTTTGGAGGTTAAAATGAAAATTTTTAGATTAAGGGTAGGGTTTTTTTTTTTTTTTAATTAAAATTAATTTTTTTTTTTTTTAAATTAAATGGGGGTTTTTTTGGAATTAAAAGGAATTTTTTGGAA